TAATTTTATTATATGTATAATATTATATAATTATTATAAATTATATCATTTTAAATAAATATATATACCATTTTTTTAGATTTCGGAATAGAATTATTAAGTGTATTATCAGATATCACTTAAGTATCTTTATTAAATAAAAAAAATATATTATAAAATTTTATATTTGTTTTTTTAAAAAATAAATTAATTAATTAATTTTTATCTGAATGTTGTTGAGTATTATTGTTATCGTCAACTTCAATTATTTTCTTACCAGAATATTGCTGAATATTATTATTATTATTATTATCTTTGATTGCATTAAAAGGTTGAGTATTATTATTATTGCTATCTTCGATTATATTAAACGATTGTTGAGTATCGTTATTATCATCATCTTCGATTATATTAAAAGTTTAAAAACATAAATATATAAAATAAAATATATTATTTTTTAAATAAATAAAATAATTACCAGCTAAATAATCACTTTTATTTATAGGTGGTGTAGACCGAAATCCTCTATTTGGTAAAGTAGTAGTAGATGTGGTTTGCTTATTAATTAAAGATGAACTATTTTCATTGGATGATTCAGTAGAAGATAAATTTTTATCTAATAAAGATTGTTGAAAGTTATTATTGTTGGTTGTATTAATCATATTACTAGAAGATAATACTGTTTGAAAACTTCTTGTTGAAAACGATGTCTTTTTATTTTTTGGAGGTGTTATATTTTTGCGTTTTGAAGGAGCAGGAATACTCTTTTTATATGCTTCTTTTAATTTAGCCTTACGAATAGTTTTCACTATAAAAATATATTTATAATAATATATATAATTATTATTATTAAAAAAATTAAAGAGATATATTTATCCCAGTTTCCTATAATATCTTCTGAGAGCTTTTGCAAAACAAAATCACCACAGAAACAGGAAAGGTCAGAAAGTCTGATTTAAACTAAATAACCATAAAATTTTATAAAATATTTAAAATATTTTTTAAAATAAAATAACAAATA